TGCACACTTAAGCTTGGGAAGTGAAATCCCAACATGAGTTCAGTAGGTCCTGAACCCCTTCTTTACCAACAGTGAACATGCCGCACCCCAGTTACTGAGCAAGAACAAGGCCTGACCGTGAGAGAGATGGACATTTATTATAAAGATTTCAGCAAACACTTTGAGACTAGCGGATGGAATTGGAAATGAGCTGTTTTTCAGTAAAGCAGTCATTTGGAACCACAGACCGTAATGAAGTCGCTTTTTCAGCTACAACAGCCATGAACATAAACTTACCTTGGAATCAGACATTAAATTGTCTTTATCATAAAGTGTTAAAACCAGGAGTTGCAAAAATAATGAGGCATATACTAGTATATATTTGATTTCAGAGAGGAAGGGAGAGGGAGGAACAGCAATGAGAGAGAATCACTGATCAGCTGCCTCTCCTGCATACCCCCCTACTGAGGATCAAGCCCGCAACCTGGGCATATGCCCTTGACTGGAATCAAACCTGAGACCCTTCCGTCCACAGGCCGACATTCTATCCACTGAACCAAACTGGAAAGAGCAATAATGAGACATTTTTAATCATAAGGCTCTCACTAAAAGGAATTTTTTTTATAAAGAGCAAAAGGTGCTTTTTCAACCGCAAATACACACAAAAATATTTTAAAACATTTAACCTCGTCTTTTTTCTATTTTCTTACATATATTAGCATAGTACATAGACATTAATTTTAAAAGGTCCATGTACATGTTACATACACATACATACTGGAGGCGGCGCTCAGCGGCATGTGGTCAGGTGACTGGTTTACGCAGAGTTGTTTGTCACTGCGTGTATGCATGGAACAAACTTCTTCAGCCCCAAGACAATATTAACTACGATGTCTCCTAGCTTTTTATAACTTAATTGGCTTTCGTGAATGGTGCAATAGGAAATCAATTTAATTTTCTCCAGTTCTACTAATGCCTTTTCCTGAATAATCCATCATGGCTGCAATTATTTCAAAAAGCCACCTTAAAAGTATTTGGGTCTATTTTTAAAACCGTTTTCCATTAACTTGTCTATTTTTGCACCAGTGTAAAAAATTAATTTTTCTTTTAAAAACATTATTCTTTTGTTTTTGGTACAGCTAAGTTCCTTTTATTCCCCTTTCAATGAAGGTTTTCCTACTTTCATGTTTATACTTCCATATGATTTTTTAAAGTCATATATATTTGCTTAAAACACATAACAATGATCTATTTTTTTGAAAAGCCATTCTGTGCATTCCTTTCATAATATTCATCCGATAAGTTCATTATGCAATCTTCTACAAGACCATTTAATGCCACCACTATATGGGCACACTACAATCTAATCAATCCCTATTGTTGGGCATTTAGGTTTCTAATTTTTTTTTTTTTTGAGGTAAAACTGACATATTACATTAGTTTCAAATGTACATGGTGGGTTTTAATTGATATTGAAATACTTGTTGGTATTTGTTTTGGCTCTGCACTGAATGCACCGCATTAACTCAAGAACTGACATGTCATAGTGTTCCAATATCAAGTGCTTAGAGGCCCCCGTGCTCTTCAGCTCACCCCCCAACCCCCACCCCTCAAGGAAACCAAGATCTTGAATGCTGTTCATTCTTTTCTTTACTTTTACTACAGTGGGGCCTTGACTTACGAGTGTCCCGACTAACGAGTTTTTCATGATACGAGCCGTCTCTCGGCCGATTTTTTGCTTTGAGTTGCGAGCTAAAATTCGGGTTACAAGCCAGCTTCAGATACCCCACCGCTAGTTGGCGCAGCGAACGTCATCCACTCATTACACTGTAGATGGCCTTTGGCTTCCTCCTTCCCTTCTTTTTGGTTATTACACATAATGGTGTGACCACTCCCTACACGTGTCCTGGGTGTGTACACCACACAGGAGTTTCTCTAACAGCATAAATCCTGGACTGTAAGATATGCCTGTGTCCAACGTCATAGAAAATACTGTTTTCCAAAGCAGGTAGTGCCAATTGACACACCCACAGTAACAGATGAAAGTTCCTGTTGGCACAATCTCTCCAATTGCTGGTATTTTCTAACGTTTTAGTTGCTGCCAATTTGGTGGCTAGAAAATGGTATTTATGGCTTCAATGTGCATTTCAATGTGCAACTAATGAAGCTGGCCATCGTTTCTTGTTTATGGGCCGTCTCCCTGTCTTCTGTGAAATTCGGGCTGGCGTTATTGCTCACTTCTCTCCCGCACTGCTTCCGTTAGATTTGCACTCAGGTGCTGTTATGTCCGTATGTGGCGATCTGTCTCCTCCTCCAGTGTGGGCTCATTTGTTCACTCTGTGGCGTGTTTGGTAAACCAAAATACTATCAATGTAGCCAAAAAATTACCTTTGAGTTAACGATTTGCTTCTCTATTGCCTTGTAAAAGTTTTACAAATTTACGTTTCCTAGTAATCCTCTAACCCACCTGACTTTTGTCCCTGGTGGAAGGTCGAGGTCCCATTTGCTCTTTTCCTTTGTGAAGCATTTCCTTTCTTCCTATTCATCTGCTCATAATCTCTGTGCCATTCCCACACGTTTTAACCACTATATTTGATGTTACGTTTTACTGTTGAGGGGAATGCTAGTTTCCTTTCACTCTTTTTAAGGAATGTCTTGGATATCCTTGGTCCTTTGTCTTCCATTTATATTTTAGGAACAACTTGTCAAGCACCACAATGAAAACGGTTGAAATTACTTATGGAATTGCATTAATGTATTACCCAATTTGTAGACACAGGTGAGACCTACATGATCTTATCCATCACAGTCTCTCCATACATTTAGGCCAGTAAAGGTGTTTTTTTTTTAAATAATCATTTTCACATTAAAAGGCGATACCTTTTATTAAAATTCATTCTTAGGTACTTTATATTTTGTTCCTACTGTAATTTTTATTTAATTATGTTTAAAAAGTTTAAAGCCATTATTGCTTGTAGCTGGTACATGAAAACATAATTGCCATTTGCATGTTGCTTTTCTTCTAGCAACTTTGATAAAGTCTCAAGTCTTCTAATTTGCCTTGTAGGCTCTTTGGATTTTCATAGACAATCTGATCATGCAATGTTAATCCATTAATAGATGAGACACATTAATTGATTTCCTAATACCAATTTGCATTCCTGAGATAAATCCAATTTGGTTATATTTTAAATATAATGTTAGATTTGGTTTTCAAAAATGCTTATTTTCTTATTAGAGGGTACAATGGGAGATATATATATATATATATATATATATATATATATATATCTCAGATCAAATTTAATAACTATGCTGTTTAAACCTATGCTTAAATCTATCTATTATCATTAATTTTATCTTCTGCGTGATCTATTAATTATGAGGAGGTGTGTTAAAAACGCCCTTTATGTTGGTAGATTACTCTTTCTCCCTGTAGTTGTGGTCATTTTTTCTTTATATGTATTTTGAGGTATATTATTAGTCACTTAGGTGCGTACTTTAATAAGCTTAGAACTGTTCTATCTTCTGGAAAATTAAGCCCATTGCCATATATAGACTATCACTAGCAATCTGGGGTGGGGGGAGTGGACTTAATATGGAGAAACTTAAGTTCAGAAAAATAACCTACCCAAGAACATACACAACTAGTTGAGACTAAACTCTTGTTCTCCGATTATATATGTGATATTCTTTCTACTATATCATGTTTTTTGAAATTCAAACGTTTTAGAATTTTGGATTATTGAGAAATAGACCAATTGAGAAAATAAACATGAATATATACTAAAAACTGGTTCTAGTAGAAAAGTTTTATGCTCAGTTAAAAAAAGAATTGCTAATAGAAGAGAGGACTTAAACAGCTCCCTATTTGGGGGGAAAAAACAAAACCTGAAGGAAAAATGTCAGGTGACTTAAATGTAGGGAAAAAGAAAATGCGAAGTCACCGAATCCAGCTCTGCGTGGCCATCAGAAGCAGACACCATTACAGCACAGCGCAGGTTACTCACAAAGAGGGCAAGAGTCGGCATCTGAGAAGACTAGGAAAGGACACTTGCAAAGGGACAGCGAGGGAAACAAAACTGTAAAGTAAGATTTCAAGAAACCTTAGGGGAAATAACTGATTTCATAGCAAAAAAACACAAAGGCTTATTTTTTAAAAAGCACGGTCTAATCAATGCAAAAAAACCCAATCAGAAGTTTTGATTAAAAGTCCACAATGGATCCAGTGTCTAAAAAAGAAAAACTACATATATTTATGCACATTTGTACATACACTATATATGTATATAGCTAAATACACACACACTGTTTTCCATCACTGGTACAGAGGTCAAGATGGACACTCACTGCAGGCTAATGAACATGGCAGAACAGACGTGTGCTGAGTGTGGTTATCGCTTAGGAGGCATGATGAATGTGCTCTGAGCAAAATCATGAAGTTCTATATATAACAAAGTTCCGGTGAACCAGGTGTCAATAGAACAAGGCCACGGACATCTGTACAAGATTTCATTAACCACAATGTTTTAGAGTGACAGTCTACACCCTAACACAGAAGGACTGACTCAAAGCAACCAAGAGTTAAAGGTCAGAACCCAGGTCGGTGGCTTTGAACCCCGGTCAATGGGAGTGTCACCCACCATTTCGTTTTGCTTGGTCTATAAAGGAGTTGATGTGCGGGACATCTTGTTCTAAGCTCTACCACGCTTTCCAACCAACAAGCACCACCAGGGACCAGATGTCAGTGCTTCACCCTCGCACTGGCCATGCCGGTGGGCTGCACAGCCTCCTGTCTGCCTTGACCTTCCTTTCATCATTAGTATTCCCACTTCCAGCCATATCTCCCCACCACTTCACATGTGAATAATCTCCCCTGGACTGCATGGCTGCAACAGTGACAAACAGAACTAATGACCCAATTACACTGCCATCTGTTCAACAAAACGTGACCTTCTAAGAGAATATCCGCAGTCTTACTGGGTTTAGTACACAGTCACAAAATTAAATGACATGTGGGAATCAATACAAAATATTTATTTTTTTCAAACCACAGAATCCACCCCAGAGCCACACTATAAATTTCCCAGAATTGGAAGCCGTTAACATTTCCCTAAAGAATCCAGTCCAACCAGAAATGAAGATCATTCCCAACCAGCAGGGGTGCAGGGTCTTAATGTGCCTCTGATCAGCATTGTCTGTAATTCTCCCACAGCCACATCCACATAAGCAGAAATAGTGTATGCACTTATGCCACTCGGCTGTGGAAAGAGATTCAAAACAGGGGCTTGGCCAGTGGAGGAGGGAACATGTCAATGACTTAGTTCTAAAACAGTAGAGACAGATGAGGAATCATTTTCCTTGGAAAATAATAGGGGTTCTTTCATATACAGGGTGGGGCAAAAGCAAGTTTACAGTTGTGGGTATGCGAAACCGAATTTATTTATAATTAATTATTTTAGTATTTACTAATTACTATAGTACTTTCCAAACAATGGTAAACCCACTTTTGTCCCACCCTATATTCTGGTGGCCAGAAACTGAGGCAAATGTCAACAACGTAATAAAAATAATAAGAAATCCATTTCTCCATGAACTACTATTTTTAACTTCCAATAAACATAAACGTCATCTTATGCGATTATATTGAAAACAGTAACACAATGAAAAAGGTCCTATAAACCTCTTACGGGTGTCAGTCACGGAATTCACATTCTGACCTTCAACTTCAAAGTCCCCTTAAGAGGCCTTGCCTTGGAGTAAAGTAAACATATACTCTGAAGCTCAATGAGACACCATGAAAAACCAACTGAAAACATCCTAAGTGACTGGATAGCTAATGTGGGTTATCTTGTGTTGGTTTTTTTAGTTGTAAAGTTTTTAATATCTCAGATTAGTGTATACTCCTAAAACAATGTTCAGTCATTTTTACAACAGCTGCTTACTAAACAATTGACTTTTGGCTTAAGGGCAATAAATCTTGCATGATAATCACGAAAATAATTGTGATAAAACAGAATAAATACAGAAGAAATTACAGCCAGCCTCCATAAGATGACGACCAACCTGGAAGGTTACCCCGGGAGAGTAAAGGGTTTATTAAAGACTATGATACAAGTGCTCCTGCTCACTTCATACCTGTAAAAACCATCGTGTCCCTGGGTTACCATACCTCTGGCTAGCGCGTGTGCACCGATCGCCACTCCCAAGTTCTCTTTGTGCTGAAGGACGTTCGAATCCCTGTGCAGTCAGTACAGAATATTGCAAGGTGATGTATGTGCAAACTCTTCCTGAGGAATTCTTTGTGTGTGCAAATCTGCTACCCGACGAGAAGCATGGGCAAGGGCACCGGCAGCGTGAGGGGGCTGCAGTGCTGGGGACTTTGGCGTCCATTCTTCTGCAATCTCTCTTACTCACAAATAGGTTTTCATCCTGTACCCCAAAGAAATGGAGGGGAGCTGCCTCAAACTTGTAAGAGGAACAGGAAAAATGTAAAATGTAGTAACGCACGACTCCTGCATCCAGGTCGGTGTTTCTTCTCAGATTCTACGTAAGAACTATATATGTCAGGGTTTGCTTTCTGCCCCACAAAAAACAAAGTAGTTGGTGGGCTAGGGTACAGCTGTGACAACAGAGGGCATCGGATGACACTGTTACTGAAGATTCAAGCCAACTTTAAAATAAGTACCGTCTCTCAAAACCATTATCATCTGCTCATACTTTTTCATGCCATGACTTCAATGTGATTGGACTGGCTTTCTTGTTGATGGTTTAGATTTAGGCTGCACACACACACTAGTCAATTTAGCCAAATCAACTTGTTGACCATCGACCTGCATGTACAATTTTCTGACTTGGGCCCCACAAAAGTCAACTGGTGGAGAAACGATATACTATCCTGGCAAGAATACAGGTAAACATGAGAAAATACTTTCTGGCCAACAATGCTTCGTCAAAACAAAAATGGAGGACAAATCTTATTTCTTCTCATGTTGCAAACTAAGAATTTAGCTAAGAATTCCAATTAAATAAGCAAGGTCAACTTTGGCTTGAAATAAAGAAATGGGTTCTTCATACTGCAATGTACCTCGGGGGTGAGAATGAGAAACCACTGGTCACGTGCACCAGGAGAGCGTGTAGTTCCTCCTACAGCGCCTTCCCTCCGGCTTTGCAGGACCAAGCCCTGGCCCAGGGCTGGCTACAGTCACTGCCCAAAACTTTAGAGAAACTACGTTTCGCAGACTTTGCCCACTTTTTGTTTACACATATAATAAAAAGAAGACAATATAAAATATTTCTCCATTAACTTAATAATGCAAAAACATCCAACGGTTTTAATGCCAATTCACATCATAATACAATGCTTTTATAGGGAAAGTTCTGTTGTTGGCCAAACAATAGTCTCTCCCAGAAAAGCATCTGGGTATATTATTAAATTACTGAAGAACCTATCAACATTTTTCTTAAAAATCCAATTTTATTCCTGCAGAAATATTATTAAAACCACTCAGGAGAGACTTTAGTTGCAAGTGTTATTTATAAGCCTGCAGCAAGCAGTCCATTGAGAAAGTAAAATTTGGCCTTCATGGTAAAATGGAATTTTTCCTTGATACTAGAATGTTACTGGTGCAGCAAATCAAACTATTCAGGGCATAGGGAGAGCCCGTATATATTCTTACAGTAATTCAGTGTTCAGCAATACAATCCAAAATACTCACAGAATTAATGAGCCTAACTCAAATCCTCCACAAAATCTATCAACTCTGGCTGACAAGTACTTAGAAAAATAAAATCTGACCACCTTTACTTTTACTTCTCTGAGTAATAATTTCACAAACAGAGGACTTCTATTAGATGACTTACGTGCTCCTAAGATCACACTTCTAACTCTCCCACCCCCTAAAAAGAAACAAACTGAATTGGCAGAGGCAACTCTTAAAAAACCCTGCAAATCAGAAGTGTGACAGTATCCCTAATGTCTTCTTTTTCTGCTCCAAGTTCTCTGAAGAGGTGACCATTAGTCTGACATAGCCTAAGAGACTCAAGCATAATGCTCAATGTAGAGTCAAGCAGAATTGAGAACAAAATTTTTTCCCGTTTGCCACATCTTTCTATTTTCCTTTGCCTTTCAAGAACAGCTAGAAAAAGCTTCAGAGTCTAAACAACTAAATAGCACTGTGGGTGTAGAAAACAAAACAGCTTGGCCACAGCTGGAAGGGGGCCTCAAAACCGCAGCAGTGCTACTTCTTTTCAGACTTAGATACAATGTTTACAAGATGCAGACTACAGACTTTAATAGAAAGTACCTATCCTACCCATTTAAGATGAAATGGATCAGGAATCCCACGCCACTGATTATATTGGGATTTAATAACCATATCCGTTTCCTAGAGCATCGCCGGAGCCAGCTTTTACTGTTGGATGATTCTCAACATTGAAAGGGGAGCGTTATTGCTGAAGTGCTGGCCACGCCTGGACCAGCGCGATGCCAATACCACAGCAGCTGGTGAGATCATGTTAAGTGGTAGAGGGAATGGAAAAGTTCTATAAGAGTTGGTCCCTGACATTAACATGAATATGCCATGGTGAGGCGGGGGGCAATCTGACCAACAGGTGCCGTTTCATTTTCCCACTCACTCAGCATCCTGCTAGGAAGCCACTCCTGGCATCTTGGAGGGTTACTCCATGATACCATAAGCTTTTTCAGGAAGCATCTGTGAGTGTGACAACATGGTCACAGAGTTGCAAAGTGCACAAAGCTCAAGGCACAGTAGAAAAAAGTTGTGAACTAATGGGGAAGAAGGTATAGCAAAAGCAGAACTAGCATTTTCCTTTCACAAGACTTCCTAATCTAAACAAAGACCAACTCTTTTCAAGGAGTTCGTTTTGGTTAGGGGTGAAAAATACTGTATTGTAATGATCCGCTTGGTTTTAAAGCTGAAGGTATCCTGATGTGTGAAACCAGTATGCCGAGCGCCGAGCCCACACATGAGCAGAACAGCGCTGTAAGAGATTCTTCTGCTCTTGTATTTGTGGAGGAAGCTGCTGATTCCGGCTGTCGGATTTCACTTAGCAACGGTCACTTTTCAAGATGCCTGTTCCTCATGGATTAATAGATTTCATTAAAAGATTGTCCCATTTCAAAAATCCCCAAGTCTAGCAGCAACTGACAGTTATTTTGTTAGTTAAAATTTTGTTTTGTTTTTTAAAATTACGAATCAAAGTAAGAAGTCCGACATCCTCTTCTGAGAGCAGCCGTGTGAGAGCGCCTGAGTGCAGGACCCGCTGTGCTCGGAAAAGTCTCTGCAGCTCCAGTGTGTCCTTGTGGCAGGAAGGAAAGTACATTCAACACAGTCACTATCTGTACCCTCTGGAACTCGCACATGCTGAGGAGCTGTCTGCAAAAAATCATCGGAACAGGAAAAAGTATGAATAGCAGAGAGCACTTAATAATGGTAGGAACCTGCCTATACACATATTCCTCACCCCTCTCCCCATCGCCCAAAAGGAGGTTTTTAAAAAAGTGACTGTGAGTGGAGTGAAAGGGGGGCTAGATCATCAGCTGCTGAAGCTGGGTCACTCTAGGTCTCAACAGAATCTGGCGGCCTCTTGACAAATGCCTGAGAACCACCACCACCAGCTGGACCTCATCTGGGCACAGCTTGCAGAATAGTCTGTCCTCGGTCACATTCAGAGCCTAATGAGCCCCCTGTGGGTATCATTATTCTCACTGCATGGCCACTGCCAGTGGCTATCTACATCACAAAACATCCAAGATGGTAAGGAACACACTACTTACTATAAGCCAGCTCATCCCCAGCTCTCTTCCGGGACTGGTCACCTCTGGGGTTAAAAAAGGAAGAGTGAGTCAGCAGGGCTGAATGACATCTTCACATACCGACAGGAGAAATGGATTGACATCATTGATAATGGAAGTACAGCAGACATTGCAATTCTAAACCAACCACCTATTTGAACACATATCAAACGTACATAGTAACTGAGTCATTTATAAACTGAATATTCTTAGCTAAAGGTTGCTGTCTTTTAAATATAGAAGGCTATTAAATGAAGGAGAGATTATCTACAAAGATGGTTTATACTGGGTTCTAGAAAGTTCAGAGTAAAATGTCTTTGAAGACTAAATGGGTTTATCAACATCCCTCATAACCTTATACTAGGGCAAATTTCAAATATAAAATACAGAGGATAATTCAAAATCTTACCCTAAAAAGCTCTATTATGAAACTGAAAACTGCTGAAAGCTTTTGAAAAATCTCAGAATCTCATTAATAATGAATAAGAATACCCTTCTAGCAATAGAATAACATGAACCTTTACACACATTAACCAGTTCATCTTCAAACACCAAAGAAATTCTAGTTCCACTTTAGAGATTAAAAAACAGAGATTCTCATCAGGTCCTATGCTACCCATTAATGCTATTTTCATCTCTCTAGTTTCTCAGACAATAATTCAGACAAATGACTAAAATATCAAAGCAATGAGTAATAACCAATTCACCAGCTTTTAGCTCTGGCCAATTCTCTGTCCTTGGCCACTTTTCTTTTCCTTGTATATTCTCCTTAGTCTAGAACAGTGGTTCTCAACCTTCCTAATGCCGTGACCCTTTAATACAGTTCCTCATGTTGTGGTGACCCCCAATCTCATTGTTACAAATTGAACATAATTAAAACATTGTGATTAATCACAAAAACAATATGTAATTATATATGTGTTTTCCGATGGTCTTAGGTGACCCCTGTGAAAGGGTCTTTCGACTCCCAAAGGGGTCGCGACCCACAGGTTGAGAACCGCTGGTCTAGAACAATCATCATACAGGTGCTGTGACTTGAAATACTACCTATACCCAGTGGGTCCCAGAGTTCTATCTCCAGCTCTGATATTTCCCCTGCACGTCAGATGCAGGTCCAAGGGCCTCATCATCACCAATAATTTACACATACTGCCGATGTACATGGCCAAAACGAACGCTGCTGACTCCACTCCTTCCTCAGTCTTCCTCAATAAATGAACCCAATTCCTCAGGCCAGAGTCCAGCTCATCCCTGATTCCCCTCTTTCCCTTACTTTGGAAACATAATCCAAAACAAGCCAACCCTCATCTACTCCACAGCGACAACCCCAATCCAAGACACTATCATCTCTCCCCTACACAACCACAAGTCTTTCTATTAGTCCAGACAAGAGCCAGAGTGATCTTATGTAAAAGCATACATAAAATTATTTCATGCCTCTGATGAAAGCCCTTCAGTAGGTTTCCATTACCATTAAAAATCAATTCACATTCACTTCCCCAGTCCTGCGAGATCTGGCTGCTACCTCTCCATCCTTCCTACCGAGCTCTGGTCCCTTCAGCCGCTCTGGTTCTCTCTCTGCCCCACAGACACATTAGCACGGCTGTACTTACTATCTGCTCTGCCTGCAATACTCGCCCCTAGTCAGCCAATGGCTAGCTCCTGACCACCTCTTCCCTAGCGGGAATGTCTCCTCCCTGGAAGGCATGACATCACCAGGTTAGCTGGAATGCCCCTCACACATGCCCCGGTCACTCATTCTCTATCCCACACTCTGTTTCATTTTCTTCATAACGCTTATTATTATTTGAAATAAACTGTTTACATGTTTATTATTTATCTCTTACATTGAAGCACAAACTCTGTAGGAACAGGAACTTTGTTGCCTTGTTCACCAGTACCCAGAACAGTGTCTAGCACACAGCAGAAAATAAGTATCTGCTGAACAAGCTAGTAAATAATTCATAAACAGCCTCTACAGATTATTAAAATGCCAGCTCAAGTTAATTATTTTCTGCTTCTGAACAATCTTAGTCCAGACAAGAGCCAGAGTGATCTTTTGTAAAAGCAAAAATAATTTCCCATTTTCTTTCTCTGGTTTTTGCTCAAGACTAGGAAAAGAAGACCTCCTGCAGGGCTGGGTGAGGAGCCTTAATGACGGGCAGGAGAGCAATGAAGGCCCCTTGTTCTTCTCTGGGCTGAGCACTGAGAGAAAAATGTGCATACGTTTAGCATGAACTAGCCTCAGGCAGCTTAGAGAACTCTGCATGTTAGAACATGAAAACAGATATTTTAATGCCACTTTCCAAAGACCTCTGTTGTGAACACTATACAAACCAGCTGAGTGTCTTACATCATTACTATTTACACTGGTATTGTCACAGTAGCATTCACCAAATATTCTTGAAACAAACAGTTAATGCTGATCAAAAGGAAAATGTAGAATTTCATATCCGGAACCTCACATTCCCAACCCCCAAACGCCAAATGAAAACTGAACCTGCAGAAAATAACAGGAGAGAAACACAGATGTGAGAATGACAGGGAAAAAAAGGTAGTGGAAAGGCTGCCAAAGACACCTAATGCGGCAAGCAGGGAAAGCTGTAAGCTGCGCTCCAAACCAGACCCTTCTACTGAAGGGAAAAGCTCCATCTAGAGTCACCTCTCAGCGAAGAGACCAGTACCCCTACCTGCCAGGCTCTATTTGGTTTCAGAAATCCAGGTACCAATTATTCAGAAAGAACATTTTATTTGCCCTTAAAAGCTATCGAGTAGCCACTTTGAGGAGGACCACAGGCTGGTTTGAATGAGATACTCCATCTCGGGGCATGCACGTTAGATGTTCCCAAATGAGCTTATCTTCTATAATGCAATATGACAACAGCAGATACCAATCAGTCTTCCCTGACAATCATCAATGCAATTATGCAGGTAACAGATAAAAAGAAAATGTTGCTCTTAGTTTATTTGTTCATTCTAGCTTTGAAATAAGTCCACATTGTATGTCCATGCACCTGAATATTTCACATAACTCCAGCTCAAATGAGAATCTGCCCATCAAATGCAAAAGAGGATATATTTACAACCCTCACACATTATTTTGAAATATTTCAAAGACTTACTCTGTGCCATCCACATTAAAGCTGTGTACTGCCTATTCAGGACTCCATACATCATGTAAGTGGAACATAATCTTAAATGAAAAAATAGTTTGCAAAGCTGAACAGGAATTGTGGTTGATAAGGCATCCTATCCTATATTATAAAGAGCTAATATGCTAATTAGACCAGAAGGCAGAATGACCTTCTGGAAGGACCAGTGGGTGGGGCCGAGGGGCCGTGAGGCAGCCAGGGCTGCGATGGGCCGAGCCCCTTGCACAAATTTTGTGTATCGGGCCTCTAATAAACCATAAAATGACTGCTCATATCAGAATAGTCAGTAACAGAATTCTTGTTAAGATAGCCTGTACTATATTCTTTGTTTTTTGTTATTTTTTTTTGCATTGGTGGGTACAATTTCTTCTAAAACAATTCTAGCCAAATACTGATCAAGGAAGGCATCACAGCTAGTGAGGCAAAACGTGGAACAAGAGCTGAAGTGCAGGCAGACTCCCTCCCAGCGGCTACATGTAGGGTGCTGCACATCCTTTCTACCGGGCTGGGCCAGCTCAGCAGTGGGGCGGAGTGAGTCCAAGAAGGTCAGCTTGGGCAGGGCCTACTCTGTGCTAGGCACTCCTCAGAATAATTTTTGAGGCAAACCTTAATTCTCATAGTAAATGTGTAACGAATTGCTAACTTAATTCTAGAAATGGCCCAATTCAGTCTGTGAAATTAAGCATTTTAATTTTCTCACCTCTGGAAAACTAACATTTAAAAATTTCAGGCAGAAGGTGTATGAAAGAATTCCACTAAGAGAAACAAAAAATCCAAACTCAACTCCAAGGCACTTCCCTGAATATGATCAACTTGGCCTTGGCAAATAGTGCCATGTTAGTCCCTGTACAAGAGCAATGTTCCATGAAGCTGTTTATGGAGTCAGTTACTCATCCCCAGCAAATTTTATAGTCCTGCAACCTATTGTCTTATACCAGTTCCAAAATTAGGGTTAGGAAATGTCTCTGGATGTGTTTACATAGTTGCCCACACTGCTCGGCAAGGTAAATTCAAGATGCTCAGAGAAGTCCACGAGAGCTTACTTCCTAAACTGCTTCATAGAGATAAAAGTTTTCGGAAGGCTATTTGTTAAAGACACCAATAAGTTCATCTCTAAAATTAAAAGCAAACACATAAAACATGAATATAAGCATAAAAGACTTCAAATTTATGGTGATTTCCCCCCACATATTATGGGGGGAGAAGAGGGAACATAAAAGGTATACTCAGATTATTCTGCATTTATTTTTAAATATGTAAGGAAAAACTTTAAACTAGAATTCAAAACACATGAGCCAGAAAAAGACAAAAACCTGACAAAGTTAGTTACACAAAAATAAATAAAAACTTCTACATAACTTAAAATTAAAAAAACAACAACAACCAACATCATAAGTAAATCAAAAGACAAACAAAAAAATAAAGTCTTATCTCAGGCAAAGAATCAATCTTTTCACTATAGAAAGAGCTTCTAGAAACAAAGAAAAAAACAACTGATAATCAAATAGAAAAATGAAAAAAGGACATGAACAGGCAGTTTACAGAAAAGGAAATACAAACATGAAACTATGCTCAACCTCACCCTTAACAAGAAATGCAAATTAAACCAACCCTGTGAGGTTGGCAAAAATCCCAAAGTTTAACAACATACTTCACATGCAAGGCCATGAAGAACAGGCACTTTCAAACTCAGCTGGTACATATGCAAAACAGACAATCCCCTATGGAGGGCAATTTGGCAATATTAATCAAAATTACAACTGCTTTTACTCTTGACCCAGCAATCCCACTTATGGAAATTTACTCTCCAGATATACCTGCAACAGGTATAGAATTATACATGGACAAGGCTATTCATTGCAGCATTCTCTGTA